CTCAGCCCGCTCAGCCCGCTCCCGCCCGCAGGCATCACGCGGCTGCAGCGCTGGGAGCGGGCGCAGGCGCTGGGGCTGAGCCCGCCGGCGCCCGTGCGCGACGCCCTCCTGCAGCACCCCGACGACCCCGCCGTCACCTACAGGTGGGCGCCGCGGGGAGAGCTCCCCGTGCCCGCTGCACCCCTGTGCTGACCGCCCTGTGCCTGTACCCGCAGCCTGTGGCACGAGTACCCGCTGTGACCGACCCCYGCGCTGCCCCCCGCGCCAGGCTTCCCTGCAGCTGTGCCCACGCCGGGCACCGGGCACATTAAAGGCTGGTGTGGACGAGGCGGCTGCGCGTGCTGTGTGCGCGGCCCCCAAGGCACACGCTGGCAGGGGTCCCGGCCGCTGCTCCTGCTCGCGGCATCGCCGTAGCTCTCCAGCAGCGGCTTCCTCGTGGCGCGGGACTGGGAGCACTGGGTTAAGGGCAGGTTGCTGGAACCTGCACCCAGGGGACCTGTAGGACACCCCCGAACTGGGGCCGGTGCCCGCAGGATACGAGCCGGAGGGTGGGAAGGCAAAGAGGGACAATTGTGCAGCCTGACATCAAGGATGGGCAGCAGAGGAGCGAGGAGTTGCAGTTCGGCAGCTGTCACATAAGATTAGGAGCAGTAGTTAGCAACTTTGACATTTAATAGTGTCCAAAACGACGTTACTGTAAATTAACAACACCAGGCGCTGGTGAATTAGCTCGGTTATTGATTACGGGGTGTATTAGTGTCTCAGCAGCTTGTTGCTTGATCAATAAGGGTTACGGCCTCTTGATTCGGTCTTGGTGCAGGCGGGAGATGGAGCGAGGCACCCGCCTCCGGACACCCGCGCAGAGCACGCCGGGAGTTGTAGTTCCCCCCCCACCCTCCGCGCAGGCCTCCGCGGCGCACAAGATGGCGCCGGAGCCGCACGGCCGCCGGACTACATTTCCCATGCGGCCCCGCGCGCGGCCGCGCCGGAGGGGCCGCGGGGGAGCCGCGCGCTGCCYGCTGGGGGTTGTAGTGCGTGGCGAGGGTGGCGCGCCGCACCCCGCGTGTTCACTCTGGCCCCTACTGACAGCCCGGGGCTCCCTGCCGGGTACCCCCGCGGCGCCCGGAGCGCAGGGAGCGCCGGCGGCTGTTCCCGCTCTTTATTCCCCGGCTGCTGGCGCGCGGGGACGCTGGGTGCCCGTGTCCCCCATGGCGGGGCCACCCCGGCCCCCAAAGTGCACGCAGTGGGTGTGTGG